GGATTTTTTTTGAATTTTGGGGTTTTTTGGGAGGTGAATTTGGGTGAAATTTGGGATGAATCCGAGAGGTCTGGGAGGATTTTTGGGTGTTTTTAGGGCAATTTTGGGGCTCTGGAGGGGTCTGGAAATTCCAGCTTTTCTTGGGGGGGGGGTCCTGAGAGTCTTGGGGTGAATTTGGGGTGAATTTGGGATAAATTTGGGACAAATTTGGGGGAGATTCATGCAGAATTTTGGGATGATTTGAGAGATTTTTTTGCTTTTTTTGGCGTTTTTGGAGGGCTGGAAATTCCGGGGTTTTTTTTTGGGATGGCTCCTGAGGTTCTCAGGGTGATTTGGGGGTGATTTTGGGGTGATTTTGATGAGATTTTGGGGGGGTTCCTGACCTTTTTTTGGGTTTTCCAGAGACGGTGAGGACGGCCACGCCCTTCCCCATGGTCAGTCTGTTCCTGGTCTTCACCGCCTTCGTCATCAGCAACGTGGGGCACATCCGGCCCCAGAGGACCCTCCTGGCCTTCGTCTCGGGCATCTTCTTCATCCTCTCGGGTGAGGGAGAACCCCCAGAAGATGAAAAACCCCCAAAAAAATCTGATTTTACCCCAAAAATCTGCGCCAAAATCGGCCCCGGACCCGCCCATTGCACCCATTGGCCTTTATTGTCCTCTTCAGGGTTGGAGCTCCAAAACTGGCACAAATCCACCCAAAATTGGCACAAATCCACCCCAAACTGACCCAGAGATAGCCCTGGGATTCCCCAGAAGATGAAAAACCCCAAAAATTCTGATTTTACCCCAAAAATCTGCGCCAAAATCGGACCCGGACCCCGGACCCCAGACCATTGCACCCATTGGCCTTTGCTGTCCTCTTCAGGGTTGGAGCTCCAAAATTGACACAAATTCTCCCAAAATTGGCACAAATTCCCCCAAAATTGACTCAAATCCCCCCAAAAACTCACCCAGAGAGCCCCAGGGATCCCTCTAAAAGGAAAAAAACCCAAAAAAAATCTGATTTTCCCCCCCAAATCCTTCCCTCTGTCTCAAAATCCTCTCAAAATCCCCCCAAATCTTCCCAAATCCCAAAATTCCCCCAAACCCTCCCAAAAATCCCCCAAATCCCTCCCAAACTCTCATTTCTTCCCCAAAACTCCTCAAAATCTCCCCAAATTCCTTCCTAAATCCCAAATTTTCCCCCCAAACCCTCCCTAAAACCCCCCCAAACTCTCATTTCTCCTCATTTCTCCCCCATAACTCCTCAAAACCTCCCCAAACCGCCCTCAAACCTCCCGGAATTTTCCGGAAATCCTCCCGAAATCCCAAATTTTCCCCCTTTCCCAGGCCTGTCTCTGGTGGTGGGGTTGGTTTTGTACATCTCGAGCATCAACGACGAGGTGATGAACCGCCCCGGCGGCTCCGAGCAATATTTCCAGTACCGCTACGGCTGGTCCTTCGCCTTCGCCGCCTCCTCCTTCCTCCTCAAAGAGGTGAGTTCCAAACGAAAAAACCACAATTCCCAAAAAAATTCCGGATTTTTTCGGCGAAGAAACGGAATTTTCGTTGAAAAAAACTGAATTTTTTCGGCGGAAAAACGGTGTTTTTAGGAGAGAAAATGTCATTTTTACACCCCGAAAAAATGGTTTTTCCCTGGGAAAAAAAAAAATCAAGTTTTAGTAAAATAATCCCAGTTTCCTCCCTGCAAAAAAAGGCTTTTTTTTCCAGGGAAAAATGTGATTTTTTTGGGGGTAGAAATTGGGGGGTTTCTGCTCAAAAAATGGGCAAAAAAGAGAAAAATTTAGGTTTTCTCCTAAAATGCGCTTTTTTTCCCACTCAAAAAATCAGTTTTCTTTAAAATAATCCTTAGTTTTCCCCCTAAAATCAGATTTTATCCTGAGGGTGGGAGATGTGAGGGGAGAAAAAGGGCAGGAAAACGTGAGGGGGGAAAAAGGGCGGGAAAACATGAGGGGAGAAAAAGAGCGGGAAAACGTGAGGGGAGAAAAAGGGCGGGAAAACGTGAGGGAAGAAAATGGCGGCAATCGTGAGGGGAAAAGTGGTGGGAAACACGAAAGAAAAAATGGGAAATTTAAGGGATAAAGGGTGGGAAACGGGAGAGGAAAATAAGAGAAAGTGTGGAGGAAAATAGAGTGGAACAGGAGGAAAATGGGGGTGGGAAACGTGAGGGGAGAAAAGAAAACCCTGAGGGGAGAAAAGAGCGGGAAACGTGAGGGGACAAAATGGAGGCTGGCGTGAGGGGGGAAAAAAGGGCAGGAAATGTGAGGGGAAAAAAGGAGAAGGAAAAGTGAGGGGGGAAATGGCAGCCGGTGTGTGTGGGGAAAAACGGGTGAAAAAAAGCAGGAAACGTGAGGGGACAAAATGGCGGCCGGCATGAGGAGAAAAAATGGTGGAAAAGGTGAGGGGACAAAATGGCGGCAATTGTGAGGGGGAAAAGGGTGGGAAACGTAAGGGGAGAAAAAACCAGGAAACATGAGGGGACAAAATGGGCAGGAAACATGGAGGAAGAAAATGGCGGCCAGTATGAGGGGGGAAAAAAGGGCGGGAAATCTGAGGGGAGAAAAGAGTGGGAAACACGAGGGACGAAAAATGGCGGAAAAGGTGAGGGGACAAAATGGTGGCAATTGTGAGGGGAAAAAAAGGTGGGAAACGTGAGGGATGAAAAAGGGCAAGGAACGTGAGGGGAGAAAAAAAGCGGGAAAGGTGAAGGGACAAAATGTCGGCTGGCATGAGGGAAGAAAATGGCGGGAAAGGTGAGGGGACAAAATGGCGTCAATCGTGAGGGGAGAAATGAACGGGAATCAAGAGGGGAGAAAGGAGTGGGAAACCTGAGGAGAGAAAAGAGCGGGAAACGTGAGGGGGGAAAATGGCAGCAATCATGAGGGTAAAAAAAAGGGCGGGAAACCTGAGGGGACAAAATGGTGGCAATCGTGAGGGGAGAAAAGAGTGTGAAACGTGAGGGACGAAAAAGAGCGGGAAACGTGAGGGGAGAAAAGAGTGGGAAACGTGAGGGACGAAAAAGAGCAGGAAACGTGAGGGGAGAAAATGGTGGCTGGCATGAGGGGAGAAAATGGAGGCAATCATGAGGGGAAAAAAAGAGCGGGAAACCTGAGGGGACAAAATGGCGGCAATCATGAGGGGGAAAAAAGGGCGGGAAATCTGAGGGGAGAAAAGAGCGGGAAACGTGAGGGGACAAAATGGCGGCAATCATGAGGGGAGAAAAAGAGCGGGAAATGTGAGGGGGAAAAGTGTGGGAAACCTGAGGGATGAAAAAGGGCGGGAAATGTGAGGGGAGAAAAGAACAGGAATCATGAGGGGAGAAAAGAGTGGGAAACGTGAGGGGAAAAAAGGGCGGGAAAAGTGAGGGGAGAAAAGAGCGGGAATCATGAGGGACGAAAAAGGGCGGGAAATGTGAGGGGACAAAATGGCGGCCGGCGTGAGGGGAGAAAATGGCGGCAATCGTGAGGGGAAAAAAAGGGCGGGAAACGTGAGGGGAGAAAATGGCAGGTGTCACCAAGGTGCGCCAGGTGCCACCCAGGTGTCCGTGTGTCCGTCCGCAGGGCGCGGGCGTGATGTCGGTGTACCTGTTCACCAAGCGCTACGCCGAGGAGGAGCTGTACCGCGCGCCGCCTCACCTGCTGCGGCCGCGCCTCAGCACCTGCTCGGGGCTGTCGGGGCAGTTCCTGCAGCCGCGGGCGTGGCCCCGCGCCCGCAGCCCCTCGGACGCCTCGTCGGACGTCTCCATCCAGATGACGCAGAATTACCCGCCCGCCATCAAGTACCCCCAGAGACCCCCCCCGCACCCGCACCTGTCCACGTCGCCGTGTTAGGGGGGACTGGGGACGCACCTGGCGGGGACTGGGGACGCACCTGGGCACATCTGGGACACCTGAGATACACCTGAGGGACATGGGATACACCTGAGATACACCTGGACACACCTGGACACACCTGGGGACACCTGGGGACACCTGAGATACACCTGAGGGACATGGGATACACCTGAGATACACCTGGACACACCTGGACACACCTGGGGACACCTGGGACACGCCTGAACACACCTGGACACACCTGGGCACATCTGGGACACCTGAGATATACCTGGACACACCTGGGGACACCTGAGGGGAACTGGGGGCAACTGGGGGGAACTGGGGACACACCTGGGGGGGACTGGAGACACCTGGGCACACCTGGGGGCAACTGGGGGGAACTGGGACACACCTGGGCACACCTGAGGACACCTGGGACACACCTGAGATACACCTGGACACACCTGGACACACCTGGACACACCTGGACATACCTGGGGACACCTGAGATACACCTGGACACACCTGGACATACCTGGGGACACCTGAGATACACCTGGACACACCTGGACACACCTGGGGACACCTGGGACACACCTGGACACACCTGACAGACACGGGACACACCTGAAATACACCTGGGGACACCTGGGGTACAGCTGGACACACCTGGGGACACACCTGGAACATACCTGGAGCCATTTGGGGACATCAAGGCCCAACTCCCGGCCGCCATCTTGGTGATGTCATCGGCCGCCATCTTGGCGATTTATTTGGCCGCCATCTTGGCCCGGCAGCAGCAGCCAATCAGAGGGCAGGATGAGCTCGGTGGCCATTTTGAATGGCAGCGGCAGCCAATGAGAGATGAGGATCAGCTCAGCGGCCATCTTGGATCGGCAGCCATTTTGTCCTGTCAGCAACAGCCAATGAAGGACCAGGAACGGCTCGGAGGCCATTTTGGCGCAGCGGCAGCAGCCAATGAGAGACAAGGATCACCCTGGTGGCCATTTTGGCTGGGCAGGACCAGCCAATAAGAGACAGGGATCACCTCGGTGGCCATCTTGGCTGGGGATTGTGACCAATGAGAGACAAGGATCACCTCGGCGGCCATTTTGGCTGGGCACTGTGACCAATGAGAGACAAGGATCACCTTGGCGGCCATTTTGGCTGGGCACTGTGACCAATGAGAGACAAGGATCACCTCGGCAGCCATGTTAAGGGGGCAGGACCAGCCAAGGAGAGACAAGGATCACCTCGGCAGCCATGTTAAGGGGGCAGGACCAGCCAAGGAGAGACAAGGATCACCTCGGCAGCCATGTTAAGGGGGCAGGACCAGCCAAGGAGAGACAAGGATCACCTCGGCAGCCATTTTAAGTGGGCAGGCCCAGCCAATGAGAGACAAGGATCACCTCGGCGGCCATCTTGTCCCCTCCAGCACCTCCACACCCACTCGGGGGCGGGTCCCGTGACCCCTCCCCCTCCCCCACCGGGTTTTTCCCGCCTTTTTTTTTGGCTCCACCCAAATTCCAGGGGGTGTCCCAGGCCCTGCCCCTCCCCCGCGTGGCTGGTCCACGGTGGGGTCCCCCCATCGCCCGCGAGCACAAATTGGGGGGGGCAGGGGGGTCCCGGGGGGGGGTGGGGGAGGGGAGGTGGTGGGGGGAGGGGCTTGGGGAAGGGGGAGGGGCTTGGGGAAGGGGGAGGGGCGGGGATGGCGTCCCCTCCCCCCCCTCCCCCGAAATAATTACTGTGGCAATAAAACTGCTCCGATATGTAGCGACCCCTCCCCCCAAAATAATAATTAATAATGATATTAATAATAATAGTAATTAAAATAATATAAATTTAAAAAAAAATGGGGGGGAGGGGTAAAAAAAAAAACCAAAAAGCCAAAAAAAAAAAATAAAATAAATAAAAAAAATAAAAAATAAAAAGTAAAAATAAAAATGTTGGGGGGGGGAGGGGAGGGGGGAGGGGTCGCGGCCCCTCCCCCCCTTTTCAAGATGTACGATATGTAAATAAGGGATCACGTGACCTCAATAAAGGATTTCAAACTGTTCCGGGTGGGGGTGAGAGCTCTGAAATGATCCTGGGATTCCTAAAAATCATCCTGGGATTCCCAAAAATCATCCTGGGATCCCAAAAATGATCCCGGGGTCACAAAAATCATCCCGGGGTCACAAAAATCATCCTGGGATCCCCAAAAATCATCCTGGGGTCACAAAAATCATCCTGGGGTCACAAAAATCATCCAGGGATCCCCAAAAATCGGCCTGGGATCCCAAAAATCAGCCCAGGATTCCCAAAAATCATCCTGGGATCCGAAAAAATCATCCTGGGGTCACAAAAATCAAACCAGGATTCCAAAATCCATCCCGGGATCCCAAAAATGATCCTGGGATCCCCAAAATTATTCTGGGGTCCCAAAAATCATCCTGGGATTCCAGAAATCATCCTGGGGTCACAAAATTCAGCCTGGGATTCCCAAAAATGATCCTGGGATTCCCAAAAAATGATCCTGGGATCCCAAAAATCAGCCCAGGATTCCCAAAAATCGCTCTGGGATTCCCAAAAATTATCCCAGGATTCCCAAAAATTCCTCCCCTGGACCTCCCCAAACCCTGGGGGCTTAATTGGGGCGGTGGGGGGGGGTAATTAGTGCCTGGGGGCTTAATTAGGGGCGGGGGGCTTCATTAGGGGGTTATTTAGGAACTGGGGGGTTAATTAGGGGCTGGGGGGCCTAATTAGGGCGGTCTGGGAACTTAATTAGTGCCTGGCCAGGTTAATTAGGGTGGTCTAGGGGGTTAATTAGTGCCTGGGTGGGTTAATTGGGTGGTCTGGGGGGTTAATTAGATGGTCTTGGGGGTTAATTAGTGCCTGGCCAGGTTAATTAGGGTGGTCTAGGGGGTTAATTAGTGCCTGGTGGGGTTAATTAAGATGGTCAGGGGGGTTAATTAGATGGTCTTGGGGGTTAATTAGTGCCTGGCCAGGTTAATTAGTGTGGTCTGAGTGGGTTAATTAGTGCCGGGGGGTGATTAATTAGTGCCAGGGGGGTTAATTAGGATGGTCAGGGGGGTTAATTAGTGCCGGGGGAGTTAATTAGGGTGCTCTGGGAGGGTTTATTAGCGCTTGAAGGGGCGTGGCTTAACTCGGCGGGCGTGGCCTAACCCGAGGGGGCGTGGCCTCTCCGTCACCCCGGAAACGGCGCCGCTTTTCCGTTCCCATGGAAACCGCGCTCGCGGGAGGGGGGGCGGGGCCAAAACCCCCCCAAACCCCCGGCTCCGGGCCCCGCCCAGCGCTGACGTCACCGCAGAACCTTCCAGGCCCCTCCCCCTTCCCCCCCCTCCCC